TAATTAAAGTTTATCCGAACTAAAACGGACATTTTACACTTCAAATGTCGCTCTCGTACATCGCGGATTTAAGTTCTATGATTACTTTCTTTAGAGTATATATAAATATTTTTGAAAATACAATTTTTCATCTAATGACATTTTCAAATAATGCTTGGAGAATTTACTCAAACTCTGTTTCAAAAGTGACGTAAGGTTTCATTTACAAGTTATCTGCAAACTCTAATATTTTATTCATCTAAATTTATTTTAAAATAAGATAAGAATTTATTATTCATGTAAGATATGAACAATTCCTCTATTATATTTCCAATATTTCCTATAATTTTAGCTTATTCAAAAATAACCAACGTGTGAAAACACACATAAAATTGTAGTTGAGATATATTTTCACAAATCATAACACCATATAGAACAGAATAGTTTGGCTTTAAAACACGAGAATTTCTTAATGATTTAATTTTTTTTGTAAAATTGGTATTTGTTTTGCCATATGTTTTTTTATGGGAAACATGCTGAGTTTACATATTACTAAATAGAAATGAAAGGCCTTTTTTACGTAAAAAAGCTACAAACACATCCCAACTTACTTCTTTAATTTTGTCAATTTTTTCTTTTCACACTGCACATACATGTATGTTTGACTTAGTTATGCACTAATTCAGACGAATACTGTAAATAAAGATGGATCCCTTGTTTTCTAAAACTTCTTTCTCTAGCAAACCTAAATCATTTGAAAACCCCTCCTTAGTATTGTTCGTCCCGAACAATAGCCACTTACATTGGGCAGTGTTGCGTCAGCGAGGTCACTTGACTAGTATCACGCCACGTTCTTCTCGAACCTTCGTAATTGTTGTGAGACTACTAGATTGGAGTAGTCTTGTATATATATATATAAGACCAGCCAAGAAACGATGGGAAGGCGGTAGACAATGTGTAATTGAAATGCGGAGAGAGAATACTGTTGAGCACGTGAGACGTTCGTTGTGATTTATAGCGTTTGTTATAGCGCGACTGTTGAAATTAAGTGTATCGCAAAGTTGTATTCAGAAAGAATAAACCAGTTTTATTTAAGAAATGGCTTGTGTCGGTAAAGTTTCTTCGGAAAGAATTTTTACGGAAAATTAATTAACGAACGGAGACGTAACAATACATTAGAATTATTGTAAGTAGAAATATTCAGTATTGAAAAAGATACGCTATTTTAACGTTAAATAGATATCGTAGCTTTTTATATTTAAATCTAAAATCTGAGGTCTATGAGTCGATAAACTATATATATATATATATATTCATAAATAAGGAAAATAAAACGTGCTATGCGCTAAAGTTAAATTATTCTCAATAAAATAACACGAAGTAAAATAAATTTCAGAAAAAAAATATGTTCTTCATTATATAATTTTTTCTTCACTTCAACAGAAAATTTCAATTTCAACTTTAATTTAAAATTCATAATATTCCAGACACCGTATTGTAATGAATTCATAGACGTTAATAATGTGCGACATCGACTTGAAGAACAAAACATTCACTCACAGCAGGGGAAGGTTAGATTTCAATTAATCTTTAGGGGTGGCTGAGTCTATGTCTGCATGTGTCATAAAACATTTTATATCATTAGGCTAAAGTTTTTAATATGCAAATTTGCCTCATTATTTGGTGCAGACTATAACAGCCAAAAATGTAGATATTCAGAACGAAAAGTAATAGTTTAATGTTTCGATGTTTAAAATATTTTTTACGTATAATCCTGTTAATAAATTTAATTAATTTAATATGATAATAAGTCTCTGTTTTTGATTTTCGTTAATGGGTTTTAGGGCGTACATGGCAGATATTATTATGAAATGCGTTTTCAATAATGTAAACTCATTTAAATTCAAATCCCACAAATCCGATAAAACAAGTAAAACTTATATCTGTAATAATAGATATAGAGCAGGAAGATAATAAACACGAAACTCAATTAAAACTCACCAAAGAAAATATTGTTGCATGTTTAATCATTATTAAGACTAATAATGCTTCATGATAAATATCACAACGATTTACGATGGACAGAAAGCCATGAGATTAAATTTAATTTATAATGTAAAAAAGATAAAATCATTAGCGATAGAAATGATAATCCGCTAATCCTGCAAAGTGTTTCTCTCTAATTATGAGTGATGGATAAATACTACCTAATTCGTATTAAAATAGGCCACTAATCTCTAATGATTTAAAGTAGCATTAAATCCAGTATTTAAACTCTTAAAACTCATTATTTTATTACCTATATACTACAATATAGTAACTTATAATATTTCAAAATGTCAAAAACTTAAAATACTTTTTTAATCATTTAACTGAATTACGATACTTGTTCTTGTGGTTGCTAAGTGTCGTCTTATAATAGAATGAGACAACTTGATAAATAATGTGATCATCTAGTTAAAAAAAATGAAATGGAGAAACAAGGTTACTACAAAAGAATACTATTTTTGTATATGTTTTTACACTGTTGCCCCAGCAGAATTTTCCTTCATCAAAACGAGAGAACATATATGAAAAGTAAATACAAAATAATAAATCACAGTCTATGGAAGATTTTTTAACAAAAAGACTAAAAACATAGAATTTTTAAAATGGGCAATATATCATATTTGTTGAATTATTTATACATACATACATCTAATTTCACTTACTCTCGTCTAAGTAATCCCCTTCTTTATACATCTAACTTCACTTACTCTCGTCTAAGTAATCCCTTTCTTTATACATCTAACTTCACTTACTCTCGTCTAAGTAATCCCTTTCTTTATACATCTAACTTCACTTACTCTCGTCTAAGTAATCCCCTTCTTTATACATCTAACTTCACTTACTCTCGTCTAAGTAATCTCTTTCTTTATACATCTAACTTCACTTACTCTCGTCTAAGTAATCCCCTTCTTTGGTGAACTTCAGTGTAGCATACTCAGTTGGTGTGTTGTTTCTAAAGAAAGGTTTTGTACCACTATTTGGCAAAGACAAATCGGCGTAGACCAAACCTTCATTGTTAGTAGGGAAGGAAATGTTCTGGAAACGGAACAATACGTGCAATCGTTCATAAATCAACAGCTATAAGTTAATGAATCTCAATATCCTTAAGAAAAACTGGGATTTAGCTGTTAATGGTAATTCAAGCAAGATATCGCAAATCGTTAAAAATGCATGCTATATTAGTAAAAAGTATAATAAAACAGGTCCGTTCTACAAACATACAGGTCTTTATTGAAAAATTTTGTTTGAATGAATAACGATTATTGCCTGCAACTTTTAATAACAACATACAAAACATTTCGGTTTATATATATTAGATGTTACAAAATTACCCATTAATATTGCTATTTCATTAGCATTAGTTCAGACACGCATAGCAAAAGATGTTTAAATCTCGAATCCCATGAACAAAAATTAATCAAAACTGTAAAATAATTTCTACTTTCAGCAATTCGTTTAAAGGCTTTAAAAATAGTTCAGATTTGTTTCTTCGGGTGCCCAAAAATTAAACTTTTGCTTAAGACTTTTATTAATTTTTAGAGGACGTTCCAACGAAAGACACCCCCCCCCCCCACCAGTAGCACGGCGGTATGTCTGCGGACTTACAATGCTAGAATCCGGGTTTCGATACCCGTGGTGGGCAGAGCACCGATAGCCCATTGTGTAGCTTCGTGTTTAATTATAAACAAACAAACAAAAGAGTTGGGTTTCATTCAGTCAAATTAAAACATGGAATAAAGCTTTAAGGTGAAAAGTTTTCTTTCTCTTGACAACATTAATTATACATCAGGTTCACGTTATATGTTTTTTATCACTTGATACACACTAGTTTTCTGTTAATTATGTGCACACGGAATGATGATTTTCATTTATCTTCAACGTATTTTAATAAATGATAGATGTGCTAATAATATGAATAACTGACCAAACTAATGAAAATGTGTAATAAAAAAAATGGTATCAGTTACAGATACCAAAATTGGAAAGGTTTGTCGAGTACATTTGCATATCCTTAACTGGTTTTATTTTTACATGCCTGATTTCCCTTGTATGGGTCAAAGTTCATATCGATATTCTGATTTACGACCTTGTTAAGGTATTATTAATTGAGGCGATACAACAACAGGAAGATTAATGATTAGTGTCTTCGTGGACTTTCCAATAGTTAGTCGAACATTCTTAATATTCAACGACGTAAATTAGTCTGAGATGATCATGGATGTGGAATGGGATTCGTTTTAAACATCTGGGTGAATATTCTAATAAGCATGTATGAAATTAGTTCGTAATGAACTAAGTTCGTGCACTGCTGAAGTTATTGACCAAAATAAATGAAATTATGAAGTTTTAAAATAAAAACTTAATTTCAATTAATATTGTGGAAACAAATGCATAATTAATGTCAAACTAAAGTACGGAAACGTGGAATACTAAAGTGTGTTAAACGGCCATAACAGGTCAGAATATTATCCAAAAGTTGGTTTATTCGGGCATAATTTATAAACTTAAACAACGGAAAAGCATGCATTCAAATATTAATCTTTTTTTGTTTCGAAGTTATGCCCTAATACAGTTGCTTATTTTAGAATCTACAAATATAAATTGATTGTAGAAAGAGAGTAAAGCATGCCCTAAACTGATCCAAACAAACGTTGAATTATAAGCATGCCCTAACTGATCCAAACAAACGTTGAATTATAAGCATGCCCTAACTGATCCAAACAAACGTTGAATTATAAGCATGCCCTAACTGATCCAAACAAACGTTGAATTATATTTCTCACATCATAGCTAATTGGAGGGAAGAGAAAATCTGGCACTGGCACCGGAACTCCCACCAGTGAAAGCGTTGTGTGGTTTAGATGTATAGCACAATACCAAATGTGTTCGTTTGTCCAACCTTGTGGTTCTAAAGGCCGAACGAACGTTTTTCAAACTTGTAAAAATCTTGAAATTCATTTATTTTAACTTACCCCTTTGGGTTCTCTTTGGTGAAATTTCATATTTTCATACATAGGCCGACTCTCAGGTTCTGCTACAGGTGATCCATTTTCTTTTCTGTCTGCATCTGTGACGTTTTGATAGACCGGATCGCCATCAGACTTACCTTTTTTGGGAGTACCAGAACCTACATTTCAAAATAATACAGATTTCTTGAAAATCTGTTATGTTTACAGTTTTCTTTTGAATTTCTCAAATAAAAATTCATAAGTTATTCATAGCTATTCATCGAAGAGTATCCAGTATTTTTATTTGTTTTTTAGAATTTTACGCAGAGTTACATAAAGGGCAATTTACGCATACAGACTACAGGCACCTAGTTAACATCGCCCACCGCCAACTCTTCGATTACTCTTATATTACCGAATATACATGACCCTAAAGTTTTCGAATTCACAGTCAGAGCATACTAACAACTATGCCACGCCTAGCCAAGTATTTGATTTTGACATTTTGAGTCATTGTCTATGACTAAGTATATTTTATTAATACCTAATGTATGTGAGAATGTCGAGCAAGAGAAAACCTTACTTAAAAACGGTTTATTCGTCTGTTATTGCTGGGCCAAATTGTTCCTACTTTAAGAACAGTTATTTTATATTTCGTAATATTATAAACACTCTTGAAATTAAAGCAATGTCAAGAAACTATACAGAGTCTTAATGTTAAACAACGAAGAAAGCTTGGAAGTAGAATAACGTTATATTAATTGGAATAGAATAATGTAGACCAGAGTGACATAAAATAACTAGAGCATATTAAAACTGAGTAGCGTAGAATAAAGTGCAATAGAATAAAGAAGGTAGTATAGTTTAAATTATAATGGAAAAGAGTAACTTAAAATAATCTATAATAGGGCAGAATAAAGCAGAATAGGAAACAATTTTCTTAGAATAAAGTAGATTTGGGGAAAATTGAGTGGAGCAGAGAAGCATAGGCCGTAGAATAGTAGAGTATTGGTGAAAAATAATAGTGTAGAGCAGAGTGACGTAGAATGAAATAGAGAACATAGGGTAGAGTAGGACAGAATAATACATAATAGAGTATTAGAATGTAATAGATAGAACAATGTAGAATACAGTAGAGTAGGATAGAGTATGACAGATCAGTGTAGAATAAAGTAGACTAAGATATAGTAGTATAGAACAGAGCAGTGTATAATACAGTAGAGTAGGACAGAGTAGAACAGATCGGTGTAGAATACAGTATAGTAGGATAGAGTAGAACAGAGCAGTGTAGAATACAGTAGAGTAGGACAGAGTAGAACATAACAGTGTAGAATACAGTAGAGTAGGGCAGAGTAGAACATAACAGTGTAGAATACAGTAGAGTAGGACAAAGTAGAACATAACAGTGTAGAATACATTAGAGTAGGACAGAATATAACAGAGCAGTGTAGAATACAGTAGAGTAGGGCAGAGTAGAACATAACAGTGTAGAATACAGTTGAGTAGGACAGAGTAGAACATAACAGTGTAGAATACAGTAGAGTAGGACAGAGTAGAACATAAAAGTGTAGAATACAATAGACTAGGACAGAATATAACAGAGCAGTACCGAATAAAATAGAATATGATAGTTTGTTTGATTGTTTGAGTTAAGCACAAAGCTACATAATGGACTGTCTGTGTTCTACCCACCATGGGTATCGAAACCCGGTTTCAGAGTTTTAAGTCCGTAGACATACCACTGTGTCACTAAGGAGCATAGTGTAAAGTAGAGTATTATAGAGTAACGTAGAACAGAGCAGTGAAGGATAGAAAAAGTAGAGTAGGATAGAGTAAAGTAGAACAGAGCAGTGTAGAATAGAGTAACACAGAATAGAGTAGAGAATAGCGTAGTGCAGAATAGAGTACAGTAGTAAAGAGATAGTAGAACAGAGAAGTGTAGAATAAAATTAAGTAAGATAAAGTAGAATAGAGCAGTATAGAATAGAATAGAGTAAACTAGAATAAAGCAGTGTAGATTAGGGTAATGTATAACAGAAAAGTGTAGAATGAAGTGGAGTAGGATAAGGTAGAGTAGAACAGAGCAGTGTAGAATGAAGTAGAGTAGGATAAGGTAGAGTAAAACAGAGCAGTGTAGAATGAAGTAGAGTAGGATAAGGTAGAGTAGAACAGAGCAGTGTAGAATAAAGTAGAGTAGGATAAGGTAGAGTAAAACAGAGCAGTGTAGAATAAAGTAGAGTAGGATAAGGTAGAGTAAACAGACCAGTGTAGAATGAAGTAGAGTAGGATAAGGTAGAGTAAAACAGAGCAGTGTAGAATGAAGTAGAGTAGGATAAGGTAACTTAGAATAG